ATGGTATGTCTTTTTTTTTAAAAAAAAGTCATAATATCGTATGTCATTCTTTTCGAAAAAAGTCAAAGTATAGTATGTCATTCTTAAAAAAAGTCATAGTATAGTATGTCATTAAAAAAAGTCATAGTATAGAATGTCATCTTTTTCCTCAAAAAAGTCATAGTATACTATTTCTTATTTTTTTTTTTCAAAAAAAGTCATAGTATAGTATGTCTTTTTTTTTTCCAAAAAAAGTCATAGTATAGTATGTCATTAAAAAAGTCATAGTATGCTATGTCTTTTTTTTAAAAAAAAAAAGTCATAATATCGTATGTCATTCTTTAAAAAAGTCATAGTATAGTATGTCATTAAAAAAAGTCATAGTATAGAATGTCATTAAAAAAAGTCATAGTATAGTATATCTTTTTTTTTTTAAAAAAGTCATATCGTATGTCATTCTTTTTGAAAAAAGTCAAAGTATAGTATGTCATTCTTAAAAAAGGTCATAGTATAGTATGCCATTCTCTTAAAAAAAAGGTCACAATATAATATGTTATTTCTTTTTTTAAAAAAAAATCATAGTATAGTATGTCCTAAAAATGTCATTAAAATCAAAAAATAAAGTATGTTAAAATAATGTTTTTTTTAAAAAAGTCATACTATAATATATCATATTTCTTTAAGGTCATAGCATAGCATGTCATAATTGTTTTTAAAAAATGTAATAATATAGTATTTCATCAAAATGTTCTTTGAAAAAAAAGCCATGGCATACAGAGACATTTTCCTGGCGCCTCATGAAAATGATTGCTGGAAATGACAAAAAAGTAAACAAACACATACACACATACATAAAACATGTAGATATTTTCCACAGGTGGTGGTTTTCAAAGTGGTGTCTCCACTTGGGAGGGAGCAGCACCCTCTGCTGATGAATGATGAGAATAAAAAGCTTACAGCACCGGGTATTCCCAGGCGGTCTCCCATCCAAGTACTGACCCTGCTTCGTTTCCGAGATCAGACAAGATCGGGCATGTTCAGGGTGGTATGGCCGTAAGCCGTTCAAACACATGCACACAGCCTACTTATACATGCTACAACACCTAAAACACTTCTCACAACTATTCACCAAGGCTAACATTCATCTACAATTTTACACTTAAACCAACAGTCAACTCATCGATCCAACACCTATTTCCTCTGGATCCATACTTTCATAACGCATATTCCTTTGTGATATAAATCAGACCTCAAAAACTATTCAAACACATCACTCAGCCACAACATTAAAGGAGTCACATGCTCCATCTTCACCAGGAACACACATTGTACTTCATTTTGACTTCATCTATACACATTACAGCACCACATGTGTACAACAGAGCTGCTGGGCACAGCTAAAAACTCATAGTACAGTATGTCACAAAAATGTAATAAAAAAGCATTATTACATGCCTGTGTGTTTTGGGCCCACCCTTTGTTTTGTATTTTCCCCTTTCTTTTTCAGTGTGCAGCTGATCCTCATCATTCCTCATCAGCGAGGGTTTACATGAATGGAGGAGGAGTAGTGCCGGTGCCAGTGGGCTACAAGGCTGTGACAGTTGTGATCGTTTTCCATTGGTGGTCCTTTTTCCCGTTTTTGTTTAAAATAAACTTCCTTCAAACTGGTGATTAGTTTTGCTTGCCTTTTTCTTTTGTTTGAAAGTTCCTTCTATTTCCCTGTGTTACTCCCCCCAACCCCTATCTGGCAGGGACCTAACAAGCATAGCATACACTGTCATAAAAATGTTTGAGAAAAGCCATAGTAAAGTAGGTCAAATGAAAAAAAAAGAGTCATAGTATAGCATGACATTGAACAAAAGGCATAGTAAAGTATAACATTTTTTTTTTAAAATAATAGTATAGTACGTCATTAAAAAAAAAAAACGTCATTGTATAGTATGTCTTTTTTTTAAAAAAAGTCATACTATAGTATGTCATTTAAAAAAAAGTCATACTATAGTATGTCATTTAAAAAAAAGTCATAGTATAGTTTGTCATTTTCTTTTAAAGTCAAAGTATAGTATGTCACAAAGAAAAAAGTCATAGTATAGTATGTCATTTAAAAAACGTCATAGTATAGTGTCTTTATTTTCAAAAAAGTCATAGTACAGTATGTCATTTAAAAAAAGTCATAGTATAGTTTGTCATTTTCTTTTAAAGTCAAAGTATAGTATGTCACAAAGAAAAAAAGTCATAGTATAGTGTCTTTATTTTCAAAAAAAGTCATAGTACAGTATGTCATTTAAAAAAAATCATAGTACAGTTTGTCATTTTCTTTTAAAGTCAAAGTATACTATGTCACAAAGAAAAAAGTCATAGTATAGTATGTCATTTAAAAAACGTCATAGTATAGTGTGTCTTTTTATTTTCAAAAAAGTCATAGTATAGTATGTCATTTTATTTTCTCAAAAAAAGTCATAGTATAGTATGACATTCTCTTAAAAAAAAGTCACAATATAATGTTATTTCTTTTTTAAATCATAGTATAGTAAGTCCTAAAAATGTCATTAAAATCGAAAGATAAAGTATGTTAAAATAATGTTTTTTTAAAAAGTCATACTATAATATGTCATATTTCTTTAAGGTCATAGCATAGCATGCCATAATTGTTTTTAAAAAATGTAATAATATAGTATGTCATCACAATGTTCTTTGAAAAAAACGCCATGGCATACAGAGAAATTTTTCTGGCACCTCATGAAAATGATTGCTGGAAATGACAAAAAAGTAAACAAATACGATAACAACACATGAAAATACAAAGTTTAGACTGGCAGATACATAAAACATGTAGATATTTTCCACAGGTGGTGGTTTTGAAAGTGGTGTCTCCACTTGGGAGGGAACAGCACCCTCTGCTGATGAAAGATGAGAATAAAAAGCTTACAGCACCGGGTATTCCCAGGCGGTCTCCCATCCAAGTACTGACCCGGCCCAACCCTTCTCAGCTTCCGAGATCGGACGAGATCGGGCGTGTTCAGGGTGGTATGGCCATAAGCCATTCAGTTGCATACACACAGCCTACTTATACATGCTATGACAGTAGGTCATTTTTTTTAACGACATAGTATAGTATGTCATTTAAAAAAAGTCAGTATATTATGTCATTTCCTTTTTTTTTAAAAAAAAAAAAGTCATAGTATGTCATTTTTTTTTTCCAAAAAAGTCATAGTATAGAATGTCATTCTTTTGTTTAAAAAAAGGTCATAGCATAGTATGTCATTTAAAAAAAACAAAAGCCATAATATAGTATGTCATTTTTTTTCTCTGAAAAAGTCATAGTATAGTATGTGATTTTTTTCAAAAAGAGTCATAGTATAGAATGTCTTTTTTTTCCCAAAAAACTCATAATATATTATGTCGTTTTTTTTCTCCGAAAAAGTCATAGTATAGTATGTCATTTAAAAAAACAAAACCTTATCGTATAGTATGTCATTTTCCCCCCAAAAAGTCATAGTATAGTATGTCATTTAAAAAAACAAAACCTTATCGTATAGTATGTCATTTTCCCCCCAAAAAGTCATAGTATAGTATGTCGTTTAAAAAAAGGTCATAGTATAGTATGTCATTAAAAAAAAAAAAAGTCATAGTATAGTATGTCTTTTTTTTCCCAAAAGTCATAGTATAGTATGTTTTATTTTTTTAAAAAGTCATAGTATAGTATGTCTTTTTTTCCCAAAAGTCATAGTATAGTACAGTTTTATTTTTTTAAAAAGTCATAGTATAGTATGTCTTTTTTCCCCAAAAGTCATAGTATAGTACAGTTTTTTGGAGGAATTTGTCTTAAAAACAGGTAGAAATCACAGTTTTTCTTGTAATGATTCTAATGATGACATATTACCTGATGTTTGCTCCATTGTCGGAGTGTGTATCAACTCAAGACAAGACATGGGAGTGTTGTTTGTTTGAGTTGTGCTCCCGAGCCCTGTGTCTTTGCTCAGAGATTGACTCCAACTGAGAGGAGCTAGAAAGAAAAACAACACAGATTATCACCTGAAAAGAAAAATCTCCAAATTTGTTGTAAGATGTGTGTTAAGACATAAATGACCTGCATCACTGCAGTGGCGCTCTCTGGAAAACACCTTACGTTCCTGGGGCTGGACCTGCATTTATTAACCACTTAACATTTATGACACACACGCAAATACAACCAAGCAGACAGACAGAGTGAAAACCACAGACCTGCAGCTGACCAAGCTGAGCATCAATAGCATCTAATAGAAGGTCACAGTGATCCAGTTTGAGCGGAGGAGAGTCCAGTCCAGACACACTGCTGTTGTCATTGAGATCTGCGAAGGCAGACAAAAAGGTCAACAAGAGTGGGTGCAAACCTCCAAGTGGGTGAGATATGCACGATATAGATGTACTGCCAATAAAAACCTGTGTAAAGAAGCTCATCTGTGTCCTCTGCTTCTCTCTCTGCTCCAACATGGCCTCTGTCTGCCATGTCCTACTGCTGGAGACAAATGTGCAGACACTCACCGACCATACAGACACAACATCTCCAGTGACTACCACTGGTTGAGGCTGACTGGGCAGCCATAAGGAGTGGGGGGTTTGCTGATGTTGCTCAGTTGTCCAGGAAACTAGGACAATTTAGCTTGTTAGCAAGTCAAAGTCACTTCTTTTCAGCAAGAGGACTATAAATTCCTGTGCCCTCCTGTCTCCGCCACTCCCCAAAATGAACATGAAGGCACAGGAGCTGTACAAGTCAGCCCACTTTAACTTTTATGCAGGTTTTACCTCAGAAATGTGAAGCTAAAGCGTCTGAAATGCCTACTATCAGTGGTGCTAACTGTTTTTAACGCAGGCTACTCGGAATAATCACATTATTAAGCCTTTAATATTAGTGGAATTTATTGCAAAAGGCTAATGTGACCGAAAACACACCCACACCTAATTTGTCTGAAACTCCCTAATACTTTCCTTTACATGTAGCTCGGTTATTAAGGACAAAACACACACATTTTAAATTCCTAAATCGCCATAGTACTGACTCACACACACATTTCTTACTTACCTCCAAAAGAAAGTTTAAATCGATGCTGAACTTCACTCGTGTAGCTGAAATACACAGCTGCTACCCTCAGCCTTGATTGACAGGAGCTTCCGGAGGTTGCCCTGGAAACGGTCAAACAGCTCGCGACCACAGACCAAGAGGAGGCGGACTGTCGCGCGCACAGCGGCAATATTACCGCCAAAGGAAGCCTGGTCAGAGCTGGCTGAGACTTAAAAGACAGTCTGTAAAATAGTCTACATATGTGGATTATTACATATATTTTTGCAAACAGTTGTACAGTTGTAATATCTGCTTTATTTTTCCTAACATAAAGGTCTAAAAGTTGTTTCAAAGTCTTCTACACACTGTCAGGGATGAGGTTTTGGTGGGTAAATACTTAGGCTAATTTATTCTTTCTTTCTTTTATGTTGGAATAAAGTTATTCAATTTAAATGTATAAGTTAAAAAACATTATTCATATCCATATTTTTTGTCAAAACTATAGGGAGCCATTGGAGAGGCGTGAAAGAGCCACATGTGGCTCTGGAGCTGCAGGTTGCAATAATTATATAGCATATTGAAATATTGAAAAGAAAAGGAAAAAAATAGCTATGCTACTACAGGCAACCACATACTGCCATCCAAAATAATCATTAGCAAATGCAATTATAATGATAATAGAGTAACACATTTCCATTATTATTATTACTACTGATTGTAGTATTACAGTGTACTGCAGTTCTGCATGTGGTCCTAAGGTGGCATTGCTGTACTCCAGCAGAAGCAGTGGGTTAAATCAATGTCAAATACTGCACTGTCTCTCTGTTTCATTACTTTTTGAAAGTATTAAAAAAGTGAAGAACTAGTAGCTATGTGATATGAGTGTTACGTAGGCTGTTTCAATGTCAACTGATATTGTTTATGTAAAGTGTCATAAAAATGGTATAAAAACTCATAGTATGTAATAAAAAAGTCATAGTATGTCATTAAAAAAGTAATTGGAAAAAGTCACAGTGTGTGCACTTTTGCTGTAGCCCTCAATCATATGCTGGCACCGTAAAATAGCACTTAGTCATCAAAACTTTGAGTAACCTTGATCTAAGATATTTCTTTCAAAATGCTCTTGCAGAAGGCGTCTATTGAAAATGGCCCCCCCTTCCAATGTTAAATAGGCAATCACAGCCCTGATCATGGACAGTACTTTGCAATACAGAGTTTTTAAAGAGGGTTCACCCTCATAGTTTCTGACAACATCATTCAACTGAATCATTTCAATTCAATTTGTCAGTCTTGGTGCAGAAATTAAGGCCTAATCATTTCTTTTTTTAATCTTGCATTGACTAACTGAAAGACTAAATGGGTCAAACTGCAGGAGCTCAGCGAATATTTATTAATTAGCATGTGTTTGGGACAAACATGACAAAACTGTACACATAAGTACAACTGCAGTGCACTATATCACACAAGACCTCCACTGAGAGTTATCATACAGCCCCATATGGGTTGATGTGCATACAAGGTGAAGTGAGATTGGACTGATTAATCAAGATGTCAGGATTTTGATAACTTGCAGTGCATCTGATACACAAGTGTCACAAGGGCCACCCTTTTATCCCGTGTCTCAGTCCTTCTACCTCCTCAGTGATCACCCCCATTAAAACTGGCCTGGACCTGCTTCTGCACTCTAAAAATGCTGCAAAGTATACTCAGGAATGGAACTCAGGTTGATGTAACATACATATTTCTATTTTTACCTGTAGTACCACTTATTAATCTAGATTGTTTTGGTGTGAGTTGCCGAGTGTTGGAGATATTGGCCGCAGAGATGTCTGCCTTCTCTCAAATGTAATGGACCTTGATGACACTCAGCCCATGATGCAAAAGAGTCAAACACATACATCTGAAAAATTCAACAGCAATGTCCCTTTCCAGAAATCATGACCTGGTTACTCAAGATAATCCACAGACCTTGTTGTGAGCAGTTTCATTTAGGAACTAATTTTTTTCTACTGAACTACACTCACCAATTGTATCACTGTGCAGAAGGAAGTGTGCATCTACTCATAGACTAATGGCATCCTCCTCGTCTAAAGGCCATTGCACACTGAGTCAATTTTTTTCATCCTAAATTGTCACACATCTAAAAATAAATATGACTTTATGTTGTGTCAATCGCATTTGCACACTGACTCCGAAACTTTCGTCTGTCATTTAACTTTTTGAAACGGGATCGATTTTCTGCATTTTTTTTGACGGGATGCGAACACCGCTCTCTCAGGTCACGCGCCTACCAGCCACCCCGCTCAGAGTTTCACCGCCTTAACTTTCATTCTTGTCCTGCTGTGTTTCCCCTGACACCACTGGGTGTCTTTAAACTATAACGGCAACAAACCACATATCGTGCCAACCGTTTTTTGTTGGTTTCTGATGCTGCAAGTCAATACCCAAGCGCCAGATTTCGACCACTTCAGAGAAAGACCGGGCTCGCTAGATAGGCAACCCCAGTGGAGAGAGGCAAGGGAGGAAATGCATCTATTCTTTTTGTCACATATTGAAAATTTTCACAGCGAATAAAACAATAAAACACATCATAATAAGTGTGCAAGGTTTCTGTACGTAACAATTTCTTTTGTATGACGGATTAAAAAACGCATCAGAAAAAAAGGGACTCAGTGTGCAAAGGCCTTAAGCAGTAATGTTAGAGAGCTCAGTGGTGCTAGGTGAGCGAGCTGTAGATGCACACTTCCTTCTGTGTGGCAGTATGGTTAGCAGGTGTAGTTGAATCGAAAAAAAAAAAAAAAAGTAGTTCCGTTGATTGCAGAAAGAGAAAATAAAGCAGACAGATATCCAAGTGTCAACAATAACAACTTTATTATCTTCTTTTTTTCATTATTGTGTCTTTGTCATTTAAAGACAATGTTATACAAGTATAAATAAAGGGAGAAAATACACAATTTAAAAAAAAAAAAGAAAAAAAAGAAGCAAAACCTCAGTTGAATCCACAATCACACCTGAATACACCTGCGTGTATTTGGGGAGTAAGAGTAATAGTCAAGGCAGGTCAGTCACCTTTGACCTCCTCTACCAGGCCGCTGTTGTGATGTGTCTATTAACCTTCATCATCGCACAGATTGTTAACGTCATCATCGTCTCACAACAAAGCCGTGAGTCACAGTCCGAGGAGAAGCAGGGTTCAGTTTAGACAAGGCAAAAAAACTCTCCCCAATATCATTAGTTAACGTCTGCCTCAAACTGAGCAGCATCGAATGAGGAGGAGGTGTGTGCTGCGTGCACACACACCAAGCTCATTATGCATACAAACAGTATGAAAACACCAACGTAACAATAATGGCACCCATGAGAAGGTAGAAGTCAGAACAGAAAAGCTTAAAAATCAAAGCTAAAAAAGAAAAATCACACCATAGTGAGTTAAGATGAAATGAGAGAACTAATGAGAGAGGGTTTACATGAGACCCTCTGAGATAGGGAAGGCAGATGAAGAGGTTGTTTGAGTCTACAGTACGCTCTCCACACACACTTTGGTTGGTTATTCCCTTTCTGCATGAGGCCGACAGCCACCAGCTAACACAGCCACACCTCACTGCAATATTGCTACAGCTGTCCAGTACCGTACACGCCCTTGCTGGGCAACCTTCAGTAGGCAAGTCACCATCAAGTACTGAGGTCACGTTATTTGGAAATGCACTGATTAAAACGTATGATGAGCTCTCTGTTATCATTCAAAATATAACACGTATTCTCAAATATAAAATCTAAACATAATATATTAATCTCTAGTAAAGTCTTCAAATCGATCGCTGAGAAAGGAAATCACAGACTAAATTTCCGTTTGTACAATTTCTTCACCGCCGTTCAGCAGTGATGTCACGACTGTGTATGATGATATAGAGTTTACTGTACAGTTTGCTAGATAACATAAAAGAAATATGTTGCTGCAACAGTGTCTGTCGTGACATGTGACACACGTGATATGAGTTTAAGTGAACACATCAACAGCTCGTATCTTTGTACGCACTCAAAGATGTCTGTGTGAGGAAGTGTAATTAGCAGAGGTGGGACCAAGTCAGTGTTTGGCAAGTCACAGTAAGTTTCAAGTCTTCGCACTCAAGTCAAGAGTCAAGTCCTAAGTCAAGGCCCGAATCAAGACAGGCAAGTCCCATGTTGAGTCTCAAGTCAAGATGGGCAAGTCCCAAGACAAGTCTCAAGTCAAGATGGGCAAGTTCTAACACAAGTCTCAAGTCAAGACAGGCAAGTCTCAAGTCAAGACAGGCAAGTCCTGGGTCAAGGCCCGAGTCAAGACAAATAAGTTCCAAGCTGAGTCTCAAGTCAAGACAATCAAGTCCAGAGTCAAAGCGCAAGTCAAGACAGGCAAGTTCCAAATCAAGGCCCGAATCAAGACAAGCAAGTCCCGAGTTGAGTAAAAAGTCAAGACAACCTAATCCAGAGTCAAGTCCCAAGTCAAGACAGGGAAGTCCAAAGTCAAGGCCTGAGTCAAGACAAGCAAGTGTCAACTCAAGACAAGGCTCAAATCAAGACAAGCAAGTCAAAAGTCAAGGCCCAAATCAAGACAGGCAAGTCCCAAGTCCAGTCTCAAGTCAAGACAGGCAAGTCCCATTTAAAGTCCCAAGTCAAGACAGGCAAGTCCCAAGTCAAGGCAGGCATGTCTCGAGTCAAGACAGGCAAGTCCTGAGTCAAGTCTCAAATCAGGACAGGCAAATCCCAAATCAAGTCAGGCAAGTCTCAAGTCAAAACAGGCAAGTCTCAATTCCTAAACAAATCATAATGCTCTTTATACCAAATGTAATGTAATTTTAACAACAAAGTGATAATATGTTATAAGTATCGTGAATGCTTTTCAAAATTTGTAATTTGTTGAAAGTTGTTGCATCTCTCTCTGTAATTTTCAACCCGCACATTTTGCATATTGAAATTCATTTTTTTTTTGTTATCCACCGCATAGTTTTTGTACATGAACATTATCTTTGGTATCATTTTTTCCTTTTACGAACTGGTGCTCAGTCACATAACGCTAGTTCCTCATAATTCTCATTCCTCCGCAACTTGATTGGATGCTGTTGGATCGGTTTCTATAAAGTGGATCTTGTGAATTAGGTGTCATCTTACTGGGAATGAACAGAGTTAATGTTAGTTGATTCAGAAAATGAAGGGAAATGAATTGATTCATGGTGCACTTTAACAAGTGTTAAGTAGTTTCAAGTCAAAAGGCTCAAGTCCAAGTGAAGTCACAAGTCATTTGCAAGCCTTGTTTGATTTTGTCAGGTGGGGTCTAAAGCCATCAAATTTGTGACTCAAGTCCTTCTCGAATTGAAGTCATGTGACTCGAGTCCTTCTGAAATCCAAGTCAGGTGACTCGAGTCCACACCTCTGGTAATCAGAGAAATTAGAGGAATAGTAAGACATTTTGGGAAATACGCTTATTCGCTTTTTTGCCAAAAGTTACATGTGAAGACTGAGAGAAGTATCAGTCCTCTCATCTAACTTTTGGCACAAAAAACACAAAATAAAACAAAACAAATGTCAATAAGTGTATTTCCAGAAGTGTTGAATTATTCTTTCAGCATGTCATTCTGGATCAAACTGTGCTCAGGACCACCACAAATCAAAAAAACATTAAAACCTTTGATGTAAATGGATAAAAGAAGCATATTTTGTGCAAAAAAAAGCATCAATCATCATTCATTTCATTAACAAATCATTAATTCACAAATAAAGCGTCTCACATTTTATATTTTACCAGATCATCTTCTATTCTATGTGAATTCATGTATTTTCCAGTGCATTTTATACATCTTTATAGCCCGCACATCAGAGGAACTCCTAGATGTGTTGATCTATGAAATCATCACTGAACCACGGTTACTAATGTGCTAGTATTAAGGACTCTATAAAAAATATTTTCAGTGTGTTAGAACAGTTTTTTGGGAATATAAAACAAGAAATCTGCAGCCAAATTGAGGGTGCCTCAGAGCTAACATCCATCTTTGCAGAATCAATCTGGATTAAAAGATAAAATTACAGCAAATCCTTCAGGCCCATTCAATCAATTTGTTTTCAGATTTGAACTGTACTGTACAGATAACTTAATACTCAGGTTAGTATAATTATTCTTCATTTTACAATATCATTCTTTTATCACAAAATATTCACACAAAGAGACCAGATGGTAGATACAATACCTCCAGCCTTAAATTCTACATTCCTAACAATAATTACAAAAAAATACTAACTTCAAAACTCTTGTCTCCGTAGACGTGTAGTGCACAGGTCGGGGGACTCTTTCCCTTGTTCAGTCAATTAAAGGCAAAAGACTGAGGGATACCTTCATGAGCTGATCCCAGATCAGCATGTCCACAAACACTGAGTGAAAGGACTACATTTGAGTTGCGATGAGGCTGGAGCGGCAGCTGGGGGGGTCGTCTGTGGCTGACTGCTCAGAGGTATGCTACAGGAACCAGCCCTGTCTGCTTCTATAACCTTTGACCTCCTGTCAGTTGAGGCCACTCCGGACTCCTCAGAGAAACCGCTCCAGTCACACACACTGTAGTCCTCCTCCTGGAAACATCTGAGCTACAAACCAGTGACTGATGGCGGCTGTGGAACTAGTGAAAACCAATATGTTCCTGTATGTTCTGGGTGGTGATCGCTGCATGTCTCAGTGCTTTGGGGCAGACTTAATACTCTGTATGATCACTGAGAATGATGTCGCTGAAAATGGTCACCAAGGATACGGTATGTGTTGCTATGGGAGAGCACCAGAGGACAAGGTCAAGTACGTGTACAGAGTGAAACTTTCTCAACATCAACACAGAGATATGTACTAACCTATGATCTACCACAGTGAAAAGTGCTTATTCAGTTGATGGAGATTAGAGTGATATGGATGTTCGGTGTGTTACTGCTGAAACTGCACTGTTACAACTAAAGGACTCGCTACGGCAGAATCTTACTAATCAGAATCACAAATGGGAGATGTCTGAAGCATGTTTAGATGACTAAAATGCATCGAAGCATAGAGGCAATTCATGTTGAAAATATGAAATGAGCATAATAAATAAGCAGTCATATTATCTCTACATGGACTCTAGTCTAATTGATCACTTAACAGACTGTGTCATCTGGAGAGATACTCCAAACATTCACACCAAATAAAATATATTTCTGCACAGCTGCATATATCTTCAGTTCTGACAAACCAGCCTCGGCTGTATAAGAGAGGAATTATTTGCCCAATCAAATATTAATGGTTTGTTATGGAGACCACAAGTGTGAATAAATAATTAAGACATTATGCAGTTAATAATCATGTAAGTATAAACAGACAAAATGGATAATATAACCATAAAATTGTGAAATAATCCAATACATGACACTGTGTGACATTATTTTCAAACTATGTGTTCCTTGTTTGTTGCTTACTTTGTTTTGTTTTGACAAGTAACAATTCAGTTTTTGAATTAATTTTAAATAGGGAAGGACTTGCGAAAAAAGCCATTCAGGCTTCCCTTCTTTCCAACACTGAAATTACTTCTATTGTGTATATTATTTGTGCAAATAAATAAACTAAAATACATTTTTAAAACACAGCTCGAGATTATGAATTGTTATTTCCTGCTGCTTATTGTCATGATGAGAGAATTAATTGAGGGCCAGTTATATTTCTTTCCTGCAGTTTTTGTTTCACAATGTAATTTTTCACCAGCTGTTTGACTTCATCACGCCTCTTTGCCTGTTAGCTCAATCAGAAAGAATACTTTCCTTTTTCACATACCTGACTCTACCTGACTCTGACTCTGTGTAGGCAAAATAAAATAAAATAATAATGTATATTAATAGTAATAAAACTGCAGACTTAAATAAAAGTGAATTGATATAAACAAAAAATAAGCAGCATGAAATAACATTTCATTCGTTATAAGGTGCTTAATATATAAAATCTATTGGATTGTTCAACACAGTCTTGGTTATGTTGCCTGTAGTTGTTTATAGAAATGTTTTTGCTTCAGAATGTCTCATTTATTGAATTAATCTCAACCACTTTGGGTCTGTATAATTGATAAAAAAATCTAATAGAAAAAATAATGAGCACTTGAAATAATTCCTGTGAAGAAAAAGGGGGGAACTGATTTAAGATTCATAATGTAGGTCTGGCATAATCTCAATTGTGCTGAATAAAACGGAGGATGAGGACACTTTTCTTGTAACCCCTGAAAATACTGACATGTCTATCCACAACCCAGTTGCCAGAATAAAATGTTGGCACTGTTTGTTTCTGCAAACCACAGATATGTGGTCCATTTGTTTTTATATGTATCATCTCAGTGTTTCTGATTACATGTGTATAAGCTGACTTTGTCATTGCGAGGTGGAGGGGATAGTGACACTTAGGCGAGACAGCTTCCAAGCTGCAGACCACTGTTCGAGACCAGTAAACAACAAAAGGGAATGTTTTTAACTAGATATCTTGGCATTTCCAGTAGCTACACATGATCGTACCCTAACCATATCCAAGTGGTTTTTGTGGCTAAACAAAACAACCATAAACTGTATAATAAAGGCAGATGGCATGACAGCTCCCAAAAAATGAAGCCAAAACATCTCAATTGCCCGCTGGTGGCTGGCTGCAGTACAGGTCATAAACCCTGCCCCTTCCATGTAAGCAGGTGGGACATGAGCCAAACTTGTGATGATGTTTTCTATCATTTAAGGTAGTTCTCATCACACTGATGTATGTGCAAGTGTTTTTTTCTCGATTAAGTTTGGTTTAAATTTGTTATTTGATGCTATAAAAAAGAGATTTGACGTCATGATTGACAGCTATGTGAGCCAATCGGAGTGCTTGCGATCAATGGCGTGGCTCACGACTGGTTGGACAGGTGCAGACTCTGGCTCCAAATGATGTCACCAGCACAACACAGCAGTGGCCGTACATGGGATATTTTGGCTCTATTTTTGTACAGTGGGAGTAAATGGTGAGTCCTTGTTCATCTTTATATACAGTCTATGATAATCACATGTTAACCACAGCACTGTTGGAACATAAAGTTTCAACATGTCCACGACATAATGGTGTACAAATGTAACGTATTTGTGGTTTGCAGAAACGTACAATCCCAATATTTTTATTCAATACGGGTGTGTTTCTATTTGCCTGTGGATGATTTTCTTCCTGTTAGTTGTCAGATAATCGTGAGCTGCATTGATGTGGGTTTCAGTCCAATCGGTAAAAACTCTTAAATGGGGTGAACGCAGAAAAGTGCATTGTGAGTAAGATTTATGGAGCACCTGATTTCAGGAGTGTGCAGGTGCCTTTATTGTGGCGGTGTTAGCACTAACCAACACCACCTCACATCCACACATTATCTCACTGCTGTTTCAGTATAGTGTCAAAGACTCTTGCTTCTTTTCCCCCATAGTAAAAACAGATTGAGAGTGTACATTTGGAGGTAATCTGAGAGTGTGTGAAACATACACATTCTCATGCTCACTAGAGGTCCACATGGTGCTCATAAGCCAGCTATGCCGCATTGCTGAAGGACCGGAGGCAGAGCAGATCCCTGTCCAATGAGGTTAGGAGTGATCCAGGCTGAGCTCCGGGGTTAGAAGATGTCAGGACACATGCTCCAGTCCTGCCTCTCCTTTGACTCCCAGTAACCTCCCTTGTACACAAAGTTTGTCTCTCCAGTGACTGAGTCCCTCCTCTGGTGAAACCACAACGGCTGGTAGCCTTCGTATTCTTTGCCTGTGGGAGGAAGTGCAGGTGTTACTCAGTTGGCATCAGTTAAATCGCGCTCTAGTGGAGAAGCCACACTTGCAAGCAATTCACTGAGTGATCAATTTGCCTTCATACATATGCAAGTACTGTGGAAGGAATCAATCGCTGTGCACTAAATTTGGAATAGCTCCAAATGTGAGTCGTGCTCGTGTAACGGTGAACTCAAAAGCATCAAATGAGCTCAATGTGTGCGATGCAAAAACCTTGATCGTTCACAGTGAAGGGGAAAATTATAATCACACTTTTGGAAGTACCTGAACTGTATAATCAATCTGTGTACTCAATACAGAAACACACTCAAAAGAGAAAGGAATTGCAGCTCAGCAATCAGCTCATGTTACTGTTCTCTTTGTAAAAATATAGTGTCAATTTAACTCAGATGAACAAAGCATAAAGTTTATTGTTGTACCAGAAAAGTGCCCACCAGCATTAGAGGATGACGATGCAGTGCAAATTAATGACTTGCAAATGTGGCTTCACCGTATATTCAGAATACTTTGGAGCTGTATCTGTTATTTCATGTAACATATTATCTCTAAATGAAAATGTCACATGTATTGCAGGAAAAAATCGTCATTTTTCCTGGGTCGTTTTCTGGAGGAGTTGACATGAAAGGGGGGTATCATGCAGTTCCCACACAGAGGCAGACCACACAGAGGACACACGGAGGATGAGGGGTGTGTGAGCGTGTGTGTGTGGGAGTGATGCACAACAGAGGGGCACAGGGCAACCCCCACTCACCAGAGTCATAATCACACTCTGACCACCAATAGAGGGAGGAAAAGAAAGACAAGTCATGGGTACATCGAATACAAACCTAGCCTACGCACAACACACACACACAGGAATGCCACCAGGATGAACCGTCTCTGCTGAGTTCTCTGTAAAGTTCAGGCCGGCTACTATTACACGTGATCTTTTGTGTTAAGTGCTGCTGACCTGCAGAAACTGTTGTACATACTGGGATGAGTACTACTACTTAAATGCTAGCCATTAAGATTGGAGATCTTAGGAAATTACCCGAACTAATGTAAGAAATCCTTTTTATAACTTAACAGCTACTACGTACTTATCATTTTGTGTAATGCTTTTGTTTGAGGGCGGTCTTGGCTGATTGTCACAGTAATTGTAATTTAATTATGTAGCGTTGTTACATGCAACCATTAACTTCCCAACACTGCCTGCTCTAAAGCATAATCCTTACCTGACAGAATTTCAGCTCTGTGATTGGGTGATTTTTTTAACCGAAATGTTCCTTAGGTTAACTTCTATCCTTGTGTTTATGAACATCACCTTTACGTTTAGCTTTTTTAATAATCATTTTCTAAATCTGCTGCTTATTTTTTGTACTACTTTGTGCTCCAATTGTTACCTAACATTGTCAAAGCAGAAAATAACTGGCAGTTTTACTACAGGAAGGCTTTCTTTATGATCCCTGCTTGTCTCTGTCATTTACTCAGCACCTCTTACACACAACACACTTCATGTTCTCCTTTTCGTACCTTCATCCAGAGCATCTGAGGCCTCCGCTTCCCTCCTCCTTCTCACAGCTCTTTGTTTCTCCTCTAGCCTCTGTTTCTCTGAGTTTGCCTCGTCCCATCGCCCCTCCTCCATCAGCCTCTGGTCGGGTCTCAAACGACTGTCGGTCAGTCCCACTCCATCCTCCTGCTCGTTCAGGGTCAGTGCCAGTGCTGAGAAGTAGTACATGTTCTCAGCATTCTCCCTGAGAGAGCGAGAGGACATTGACAGGAGTCACACAGTGTAATGCTGTATAATCAATGATACTGGCTCAGCATTGCAGCAACTACTCATATATTGCAATGTTCTGCCTCATGAGGCTGATGAGACGTACGGGAGAGGGTATTTCTTCCACAGCAGTTTGGGCGACAATGTCTGATAGACCGTCTTCTGCTTGCCCTCTGATCCACTGCCCCCTCGGCTGCTCTGAACGATCTTGGCACTCTCAATTTTATCATCCCATGTACCAGAGAGGATGTAGTGAGCCTGGCCTCCACTGTCTGCCACCACACCAGTCACCTGGAAATAACAATAGAGAAAAATAAGAATAAGGAAAACAAAGCTCCATGTCCTTTCCTCCTAATGTTAAGCACTTAGATGCTCAGTCCCAAATCAGTCACTACCAATGCAGGCAGCATCGTGCCCCATTTTTAGATAACTGGTATGACTCCAAAGGAGGTTACCTCACTGCAATGTGACCTCATACCGTGAACTTCTTCTATATCACACTACTGTACAGTATGTACTAATATATATGTGGGTACTGTCCAGCAGGAGGCAGCATCGCACATATTAACCCCTCATCATATGACGTCATGCCAAGGTCGGGCACATAAGCATGAAGGAGGCATTTACCTTCCGAGGAATGTCCCTGGAGAAATAACTGTAGGGAGAGAACTTGAGTTGGCAGGTCTCCTTGGTCCTGTGATTCACAATCTCAATGTCCCCCGACTGTACAAACACAGACATAGTGAGAGAGACAAACACAGAGAGAATGATAGTATATCAGCGCTGTTTACAGCAGAGACAGACACGTATCCTGACCATATACTAATCTCAACCCAATCTGATGTTGAAGAGAAATACTTTTTTAAACCAAGTTTCAGGTGCTTCAAAGTAACAATGTGGAGTTTTTGACAACTAGTGGTGCTATAGAGCAATATTTTAATGAGCAGGTGTTCATATTGTTTGAGTGGATGCCTGCACTGGGGGTGGCGTGATAAACATTTCTGGCCACTCCTGAGGGCCATACCTTTTAATTTTCATACTTAAAGCTGGAGTGCAGAACGTTTGTCTCCCTCCTCTGACAGTAAGAGTAATAATATAAACACTGTTGATGCATGATTACAACATGTACAGGTGAGCTTGCATCATCTCCCCCGCCCCATGGACCGCTCTTTTTTTTTTTTTTTTTTTACATCAGTCCTTCCTCTTTTTTATCCGGTGCATACATTCAAGAACTTTTCCTGGATGTTTCTTAGGATTTTACGCCACAGCTTACACCATACTACTTGTCTCTGTCTCCACCCTTCCTTTTTTTTTAACATTTATTTCAAAGTATTAACATACACAGTATCAGAAGAAAAAACAGAATCACACACATACAAATAAAGCATTGAGGAAAGAAAATTAAAAGCAGAGAAAGACAAAGAAAACAAAACAAATCTAATGTAAAATCAATACATGAATCTTCCCCCCCTTTAGCTGGGTGATATTAAATGCATCACTTCTTGTGCACCCGCGTGGGAAAGTCGCCACAAACTACCAACACTAAAACTCTAGTGTACTGTAAAATAAACAAAGCTTTCCCTGGTGGCAATCGGCTGAGTCAGCATTGTGTGAACTCACTTGACAATGGCTTGAATGTAGCAGACGTCCATTTACATGTTAAAGTTTTGCACTCCAGCTTTAACCTGTGACACACGTTCTTTTCGTTTGTGGTATCCAACAGCCATAACATTAAAATCTCATGCTGTCACATGCTGTAATCCTAGTTCAATGATAATATGCCCAGGCTGTACAGATCAACCTTTCTGGCCTCACTTGCTGTGCTCCTGACAGCACTGTCTGCTGTTGCACTAGCTGGCAGTAGAGAAGGAAAGAGCTGAATAGTTTCTCTAGCTTGCTGTGGAGTTATTTGGCTGACCCCGTTCTGCACCAGAGGGCAGCAGAGTGGCACAGTGATGCATGGGGGCGTTAGGACAAGGCAAAAGTATTGTATGGAGAAAGCAAAGAAATAAAAAGTGTGAATATTAGTGAAACTTTTTTCTTGGTGCATGAGCTGAAGAGAGGAATTTGTATCAGCGCAGAGGTGGTTTTGTTTTTGCAAGAGTAGTGTCTTAAACTAAATATGCCGACAGCCAAAACAACAGATTATTTCTTTGTGTATTTTGACACTTTTGAGGCTACAGTACAATGTATCCCAAGCAGGATCCCAAAAGAAGACCACAATCCAAGGTAATCACATTATGTAAACAACGAGGATTTCATTATAAAAAATGCTTTGCAAGTTTTTCATAAGGTAGGAATTACAATCTTATATTTATAGTGTTTTGGTGCCAAATGCTGAATGTACACAAAGCTCCACACCTTTGATTACATACATCAGCATGAACACTGCCAAAGAAAAGCCATGAACATCCAGGAAATGTTGGATATTTGCAAACTATTCAATATTATTTACTTATTATGCTTTCGTTAAATAAGTCAGAGCTGATATTCCTGTAGTAGTGTGTGGCCAAGATGTCTAATTATTCCACATACCAATGTGCCTCTGATGTTCTGATCTTTAGGCCTTCTTTCAAGGTTACACACACACACACAAATTGAGACGACACACAACACAACTGGAAAAAGGAAAAAAAAAAGTGGGGAAAAAACAAGAATTCTTTTTCTCAACAAGGCGACACCATTCTGTACAGACAGACAGACAGACATGCAGATGTGAAGCCCACCCCTCCCCCTCACATAACTGGGCCATCTCACAGAAAGAAGAATCTGTTATTTTAGGGTGTTATTAGAGATCAAAGCTGAAGATAAATCCCTAGAGATTGTGAAGCTCCTTATCCATGTGCTGTAAGGCTTTGATTCCCTTCTTCACAGTGCTCTGCTCTGCTGGTCTGTACCACACACTACTACACGGCAGAGGAAAACAGGCTACTCTGGAGGGTCAGAGGCCCTAGGGCAGGGCTGTGGGTTTGAAGCTGTCGAAGAGAGGTGTTCACAAACAGACCTGGTCAATCCACAGCTTGCCCACAATGATGTTGTGCACCGTGGAGGTGACCTTTCTCCACACGTAGTGGTTCCCGCTGGCGTGAAAGTGCAGGTGAATGGCACCTGGGGAGGGACAGGGAGGAAAGAGGAAAGAAACATCACAGCTGCTCTGTAAGTAATCTTCAATCACAGACCTGAAAGTGATGTGTTAGATTGTGTTGTGTGTAAGTGTTTGATTGTAAGTTTCCCTTTCATGATTGTCATAATGGTCAGTTCTACCTGCAGCAGCTGAAAAACATATCATCTAGCACATGTAATCCCCTGTACGCAGACCTAACCCTGGAAGATTGATAACATGAATTTGAACACAAAAAGCTTTCCACTTAAGATTTTTTTTCTCAACATGGCACCTCACAGCAGGCGTATCATGGGAAGGGAGAGAAGTCAGATAAATACCACTGCAACTCTTGGCTGGACCTACATCTATCAAATCTTTCATTTATCTGAGCCAACAGACCCCTGCTCTCTGCTGTCCCGGTGCAATAAAGAGCTCCCTTTATACCTATACTTTATGTATGTGTCAAAAGGGTCATAAACCTCTCCTAATTCATTCTCACACCCTTTCTTTTGGCTTTAGGTTGTGCGGAGGCAGCGCAGTCGTCTACTATTCTCCAGTGGGGTGTGGAGTCCTTCTTGAGTAAACTCTGCTGGTGTGGTTGTTAAATTTGCATGATTGAACCTTTTTGTACTCATATAGTTTGTTTGCTTCCCCACTGAATATGAAATATCTTACCCAGAGGCATTATAGAGAGGTATTTGCCACGGAACTTGCTGGCGATGGTGATTTCCTGCCACAGGGTCCAGCCTCGCTGGGAAATCACATGATGTGCAGCTGCAGGGGGGTGATGGCTCACCTTAGGAGAAAGATAAAGGTTAAGTATATTCATATAAGCACGGGCTGACCCTGTGTACCTTATGCACATCAGTGAGTGTGTAAGCAAAAACTCCCTGTGTCCATGTTACCTGCTCACAAAGCGAGCGGTAGCCAAACTCCTCCCGCCGGTCAAGCTCATAAGTCTCGCCTAAGAGGGGGTTGAAGGGCTTGGCTGTCCGGTGCACCGTGGTGGAGTAGGATGAGACAGAGAAGGCAGCGACCAGGCACATCTGCTCCAGGGAGGAGTCACAGCGCGCCGCCTTGTCCAGAAGCTCATGATACTCCAGGTCCTCGGTGAGACGCTGCAGCATCGACAGGGGCTCGTTGAAGTTTACCTGAATGGGCGGATCAAGACATCATGACACGCACACATTTATGTCAACCAGTCAGCTAGAAGGAAAGCCATGACTCATACACTCACAGGCATGGGAATTTTGGAGAGCTCCTTGCCGATGCAGTTCTTCATGATGCTCCACAAATTGAGAGAGTAGTTGGGCTTGTCTGGGACACGAGTCCGCCTCTGTCTGCGGGGCTGCAGCTCCTTCCCTGACACATCATTACAGCTGGGAGACATCTGGGATTAGGTGGAAAGGGAAAGGTTGGAGGATGAGATGGTTGTCTTTTAACTTTGTGTGGAGAGAATATTCAATTTTGAGAAATAGTTTCAGCTTCACGGACAGCTTGGCAGCACATCACCCTGTGCAGACAGAATGACAGAGCGAGTGAGAGACAGGAGGAGAGGGAACAGAGGAGGCAGATGTGTGATAGAGAGACAAAGAAGCAAAGGAGAGTTGAGGGGAGAGAAGTGCAGATGTTTGACTGGTAATTAACATTTAGTGGAATGAAATAGCTGTGTATCTTTGGCACCACAGGGGTGACAGCGACACTGCATGACACACATTGATAAAGGCTGCGTGTGTGTGTGCGTGAGCATGGGATGACTGCAGGGTAGGATAGTGGGACTGTGAGCACAGCAAGTGAAGACGGTTATATAAATAAATCAATGAGCTGTGATCTTTCCAGCGGCACAAATTAATCTGTATTAAGATTACAAAATTCAGCAGTGTCCACAAATGTCAGTCCTATTAGTCAGACTAGTTAGGACAACAGTCACTTACATGGTCGTCCTGGTTCCAGTCACTGGGCTGACCTCCGCTCGCTCCACTCAAATTACTCTGGGATCGCCTGGAAGAAAATGAACAGCTTTTCTACAACGAGCAGTGGACATATAAACACACTCAATGTCCCTCTCTTTCTATTTTGCCACTCGCACACACACAACAAAACACAATACACACAAGGGAGCAAACAGATTGGTGGGTATTATAGATGAATGCTGTGTAACCGTTACCATCATTCTTAATGGGGCTACTGGAGTTGAGGGATATGTTGCTAGAGATGAGCCATAACAATGATGAGAAAAAGAACACTAAAGGTACTCGAGACATTTTTTAAAAAGTAAAGAAAGAAAGCACAAGCTCTGCAGAAAGAAGTACAGTTGCCTGCAAGAGACTGACGCGATGCAGCAAACAAATACACCATAAAAATGTACTGAGAGAGCAAAAGCAGAAACAGAAATTGGTTTATTTTGCTGCAGGAGAGCAGACAGGGATGAGAGTCTTGTGTCATTTTTTTCTGTATCACTCAGAGTGAGCTCATCTAACAAAATCCAAGAGTGAAGGGCACACTGCTCTGTAATTTGTGTGTGTAGGTTAATTGGCCCATCATGAGCCATCATCGGACGCATGTTCAGCTGTCAGCCAGAGTCAAATTCACTATTATGACAAATTAGAGTATCCACAGAGTGATTGTACATGTGCAGACTAAATATTAAAACTCAATCTCTATATCTGTCTTTCAACTGTCCTGTTGTTTGGGTAAATTTAGAAAACAAAAAGGATCCCTGTGTGTGACTGACCTGTGCTGTGTGTTCTCAGTGGCAGTCACTGTGATAAATGCAGGGGAATCCTCCATGGCATCAAAGTACTCAGTATCTTCATCTTCATCACTCGCTTCTTCTTTGTGCAGCCTCTCACTCCCTCCTGTCAGGACATATATACTTATGAGTAAATGCAAACAGCATCCAAAACAGCAGAGCCATCACATGGTGGTGAGTTTGTATTCTACAGAGTTCAGGAAAGAGCAGCGTATAATCACATACCCATGGCGATTAATCAAGGAATAATCAGCTTAGTAAAATTGGCAATGTTCCTGCTGGTTAACTACTCTGAATGATGTGAGCTCCTCAGGGTGTGCTTCTAATATTCAGTATCTAACATTCAATAATCACAGTACTTCTAATGAAAAGTGATTCTACTAAAAATAATGGTAAACTATGACCTTCAATCATTAAACAACCGCCAGTATGAACAAAAAGTACTGTTTTTTTTGTTTTTGTTACATAACAGGTTTTCATCATATTCTCTATTTAATACTACTTTGCTGTGCTCAGGGCATATATGGGCATGTAGCCCAACGGCACTCAGGTCAGGTCGGGGCTTTGTAAAAAGGTAGCGACCAGGCGCCAGACCAGAAGCAGTAGGCAACTTAAACAACTTGTTTACTGTTAAGAAAAGATAACCTTCAAGTTTAAAGGAAACCAAAGTTGACTGTTGGTAGGAGAAGGAACTCGAACTCTATGGTTTTGTTTGGGGGTTAGGTTTCGCTTTTTTGGTATTCTGGGGGGCATTAAAGACAGACAGCAGAGAGAGATGACAGGAGACACAAACTGGGGATGTTAGGGTTTATGGACAGCATCTTGAAGACAAAATATGCCCATTTTCAAAATTCACACATGTTGATCCTACGATCTCAGACAGTTCAAAAATAGTAGTAACACGAACAACACTCTCCAAAATTCAAACACTAGAGTGCTATAACTCAAATATCTGATGTCATCAAGTATAAAGTCTGGAACTGCTTCACAATGAATTGGGAAAGATGTCCTAGATGACACTGAGAGCACCCTGGGGAATGATCTGGGTATATGGGTACATTTTCTGTTTCACAGCTGAGAACACTTATAGAATAAAGGTCATTTGGGTATGAGAAAGAAAACAAATATTCTAAATAATAAAACAAAAGTCTGTGGAGCAGCCCCAGACTTCATACTTGATGACATCAAAAGTTTTAGACTTAATCATCTGGTTTTTGACTTTGAGCGAGAGCAGCTCATGTTCACAAATATTGATTAAACTTTTCTAAGTCAGAGAAATAACATATTGGAATTTTTAATTTAGGTAGTTCCTCTTTAAATCCTAAACCATGGGCACCCCATTCAACAGCTTTAAAAACAAATGCTTGTATGCCTATCCATTGACCATGTCTTTCTTCTGTAACTTAACTTCTGTAAGTTAAAATGACAGAGCTGTGCAGTGTTGCTGTGCTATAAGAAAGTCACACCACTTCCTGTTTTGGTATTGATTAGTGCTGTCATTTTTCTGGGGAGGGCAGTCTGACACTGAAGGTTAAGTCATGGGGTCACTAGAATCAATAGGTTTCTTCCTCTTGGAGGATGGATGTGCACAGCAAATGTTGTAACTGCTTGGTAATTTGTTTTAAAGATGTTGGTTATGGGCAAACGAACAAGAGAATAAACAAATAGAGGGACAGACTGACAGAAGAGACCACACGACCTTCAGTTTCTGGTGAAACTAATTACCATCTCTAAATCACTGATAATCCAAACCTTCTGACATAAGTTACAAAACCCTTCCTCCACATGAGAAGTGTCTGTAATACTGAGCCTGAGGTCACAAATGGCTTTTAGTTGGTACAGTCAGGTCCACACTGAAGCCCACAGGAGTAAGTAACACACAGACACATAGTCAGTCTCACCCTTGTTGGCGGTTGGGGCACTGGGTGTGGTGGAAACAAGCGTGGGTGCTTCTCTCCACGCTCGCTCCAGGCTGTTATGCTGCTTGGCTAGCTGCTCAATGGTCTCCTCTAGGTGGGTACGCTGCTCTCGCTCATACTGCAGCGCCCGCTGCCATCTCCTGCTGTGAGTCTCTGCTAGGTCCAAGAAGTCTCGACATGCCTGGGGGACACACAAACAAGAACATAAACAAACAGACAGCACTTAAAATTTAATTTCCACAATAAACAGTCTGAAAATGGATTTACATCTGCTACAAAAATCTGCTGTTCATCATTCTCAATGAGGTACAACTTACTTTCCACCTGCTACAGTATGACTAAACGCTCAGCTTTTTGGATTTAATGGGGATTTTCAAAATAGAGTGGCTCCTTTGGTTCCTCTTCAAGTCTGAGTTACACCCTCTTAAAAACATTAAAATCATAAAACCTTCAGGAAAGATTCTACCCTTATTTGAGTCAACAGATAATTCTATACTAATAAAAATATTAGGATATATTTTTTCTTGAAAGCTTACAATAAAATTAGAGAGAACACTGGGATGGAAAAAGACATTAGTAACAATCACTGTAATCAAGGTTATTTATCACCATTGTTTCAAGCAGTCATCAATATGTTAATGAGCTGTCTGCAGGGCATTTACTGGGTCTGCCTGCTGCGTCAAATGTGCCTCGGAGTGCAGTGTAAACACAGGAAACCTCAGTGAGTGATGAGCTAGAGGTTAAAACTCTGATTGCAAAGCAGACTATATTTGAGTCCAGCAGGGGGATCATTGTTGCTGCCTTGCTTTTACCGAGAGGTTACTTCAGATCAAATACATATTACATGTCAGCATTTGTCTGACAGCGCTGCCTCGTAGTGTGCTCAAAGGTCAGTGAATCCAAATAACACTGCACAGCTGACAACATGCATGATGAAATGTCACGTGACAGAGTGGGCCTCAGAGGGGGGTTTCTGATAAATCATTTAGAAACTATTTGATCGCAGTCGAGCATTTTTGTAGCATTCTGTGGGGGCTCGTCGTTGTTCTTCGCACAACAGCGAAATAGCACATGATTTCATATGGTGCTCTCAGTATTTGCAGCAAAGGTCTCTCTGGTCCCACTGTCAGAGGAGCTGTTGAGAGTTAACTTGGACCATTTAGTTGTGGCTGCAGGCAGCGAGCCGGAGGGATGAATGTGTCACTCCAATAATCTGTGTTCTCTGGCTGGTGGGAGTGCAATATCACTTTGAGGCAGCAGCGAGAGAAAAAAAGGATGCACTAACACCTGAATCCTTCCTTGATTTGCTTCCAGACAGCAGGATACCTATCTGTCTGATAAAAAAAAGTCCTTTTCAGCCCTTGTCCAAAAGCAGCATATCACTCTCTCTCTCACTCAGGCTATGTCTAAATATATTCAATAGGTGTATCAAGTTTAATCTTACTAAGCAACTAAATTAAAGCTTATTATTTTTTGTACCATTTTACCATAATCATTATTACTTATCCTTTAACTTTATCTAACTCTAACATCATATACATACAGTAGTCACCGTATTAGTTAACTGGCTGTCTTGCAAAACATCCTAACTGACATTTCCACATACCTGGCCAACACAGAGAGTGGGGAAACCAGGAACAGAAAAAATACTAATACACTAATAAAATACTAAAATACTAATACAAACTGCGAGCTGAAACTACAACTTAAGATAAACCATGCACAACTATTACAGTGCAATAACATCAATGTTTAATGCTGTACATGTAGCTACTATGACTGTTCACTGATCCTTGCATATTTGTTGCAGTTATTATAAATGTATTTAGCTTGACATGATCTCGAGTAACACTAATTTCTAACTTAATCTATGATATTATTCCAAAAGTCAAGATACCACACCATTATTGACAAGTGTAGAATGATCCTGTGTGTTAAAGCTAGCCAATTAAAAACAATTTTCACTTGTTAAGCCAGATAAAACAATAAATGGAGATGGTTTATGCCCATCTTGTTGCTAATTTTTTTTAAAAAGTACCGAGGTTTCAAACATCAACATATAACATTTCAAAATAATATGTATGATAATGGTGCAAGTTAATTATATGTCAATAGCATGGAAATATTATCCATTCTTACCATGTTTGTGGCTTTATGTGTTTTAAAATATGACTCCAATGTCTGGAAAACACGAAATATCTGATAGTATAAACCTCCAATCAAACTCCTACCTCCAGTGGTCTTGAATGAGTGGTGTCTGAAAATCATTGTCTGAGCCTCATTTTAAACGTTAGAAGTACATGTGACGTGGTGGTCCACTTCCTCAGACACAACCATGATATGAAACTCAACACCCACTTAAAAAATAACAGTTCCACTTTTTTATGCTGAGTCTCTGGTGCAAACGCAGACTGCATGTGACTTCCGTTTGGGGAGGAAGAAGGGTTGACAAAGGCTAAAGAAAAGTGAATGTGCGTGTTAAAGGGACATGTGAGTAAGAAGTGGCATCAAAAGACATCAGTGTTGTTGTTTTTTTAAAATCAAAAACGATGTAGAGAGTGCGATGAACTTGAGTTAAGTTTCATGTGATTAAATCATACAAACATAAACTGGTAGGTGTGTAAATGCACATACACACAAACAGGCAAGAGTCTGAGTTCAATGACTGATGTGACAAGTTACAACACTAAATGAACTAATGCAACCCTCTCCTCGGGCCAGGGTCAGATCACAGAGAGCATGCAGTGGTGTCTTGCCGTTATGGCCAAAACCACATACTGTCCTCTTACCAGTAGTGTTATTTATCAGTCTAGAATGTATTGACATGAGTTGCCGAGTGTTGGAGATATCAGCTGTTGAGATGTCTGCCCTCTCTGGAACATAATAAATTACATGGCACTTGGCTAGTGGTGCTCCAAGTACCAAAAAAATATATTTGAAAAACTAAATAGCAATGTCTCTATCCAAATAACATAACCCAGTCACTCAAGAGCCCGATACATATACGTATGTGCCGTGCTCTGTGACTGTCCGCCATGCTTTGCACTGTCTTTGTTGTTGTTATTGTTGTTGTGCAGTGCATGCCTACATATACATATGTATGCATGCACTGCACTATACTGCACTGTGATGTATTATCTTAGTGTACCTAAATTGTGAATGGGACTTTTCATCTGCTGCTAAGTATCCGATGTCTTGGTCCACTCTAAGCGGCAGGAGTGGGCCACCACATGTGGATCTATTTAACTATCATGCACTTGCACTTTAACAACTGGCACTTTACACCCGGCACTTTATAGAATCCACACCGCACTTTATGTCTATGTATGAATGGGTATTTTAATGTGAACTCCTTGTGTACTGTTATTATTATTACTCCTTCTTTTTTTCTAGTCTACCTCCTATGTGTCTGTCTGTCTATTACCTGCCAAGGGACTACGGATGTAAATTAGCAGGTTTGCTAACTCCGACACATTTACACGTGTACTCACATACTGATGTTCATTAATGTGTACTGTCCCTTTCAAATAAATAAATTAAAAAAAAAAAAAAAAAAGATAATCACAGGCCGTGTTGTTAGCAGTTGTATGTTGTATGTATGAACTATCTCCTACTGCTACCTAGCACCACTGAGTTAGCTAATGTTACACCTCAGCCAAGGAGGTCGCTGTTAATGTTCACATCTCACGCTGTCTCAAGCACGAGCCTCTTGTACGTGAGATATGCAAGATAATCCACAGACCTTAGTGTGAGCAGTTTCATGTAGGACAGGAAACAGCTCACACTAAGGTCTATGGATTATCTTGCATAACCAGGTTATGATTTCTGGAGAGTCATTGCTGTTGAGTTTTTCAAATTTATTGGGCGCTTTGAGCGCTACAAGTCAAGTGACATCAAGTTCCATTATATTCAAGAGAAGTGAGACATCTCTATGGCTGATATCTCCAACACTCAGCAACTCACACCAAAACAATCTGGACTTATAAATAGCACTACAGATAAGAGAAAAAATAGGCATTTTTTTATTTTAGGGTGAACCGTTCCTTTAACCCTTTTTTACATGCAGTAAAAGTAAATGCTTGAACAGTGGCTGGTAACATGCCTGCAGAAATCCAAATTCTGCAGTGCTTTCTGCTTGAAAGGAGCCATTTACAAGACCAAAAATCACTACAGAGTTTGTGGCAGCACTTCCTTCTCATTAGGAGCACATTCTTGGCAAACCTAATGGCATTTTAATGAGTTCGGCAATCCAAGAGGGTCTATTTTATTGCTTGTCCAGTAACTTTCAATTTCCCATTACAATTAATAAAGAAAATGGATGACAGCAAGAAACAAAGGGCTCATCATTTTGAGCAACGGCTTTTCACATAATTTCAGTTCAATCTAGATTTAGCTTTTTTTTTTTTTATCATAACATTGTAGCTCAAGTCTCTTAACAAGCTGTATTAGCTCATACTTCAGCATTAGGATTTATAATTTTCTTCTGGCTGTTTTCAATTCAAAACTTAAAGTCAAAATACATGCTGTTTAACCACGACTGAATCTGACTAAATTATTTTACACCTAACAGCCAGACAGACAAGTGTGCATTACAACAAAAATAACCCAACTGGCAAAAGAATAACCGACTCTATCAAAGTCATGAAGAGAGAGGAGCAGGAAGAAAGACAGACCTCGTATGATTGTCCTGTTTCCATTTGAGCAGGTCTGTCTGTCTGTCTGTCTAACTGTAGTCCAGAGGTCTCTGACATTTCTCACCATGCAGGGGAGGGTGGAGGGTTTAAATGGGGGAAGCAGGGGCTATTCCTGTCCCCCACACCCACCCCCATCCCCACCCCCACTCACTATCATCTAGTATCACTGCTTCAGGACCTCGACTCTCCCTGAACTCTTGTCCACTACTAACACACTGTACAACCAATGCTGTTTACCATTGAGGAGAATGGACAGGGGCCAGATACAGTAGAGCATATGCTGGTCATCGGACCCAACACATGGTGGTAGCTGAAAACTAAGCAGTGTTTGTTATTGTGTTGATTTAAGTGTATGTGATAAGTTCAAGTTGAACTGCAAGGTGTTATTTTGAGTGGGTTTTTTATGGCTCTTCCAGAAGTGTCCTTTTCTTTTTTTACATTTTTTTGGCAGGAGGTATTTACTTTGCAATTACATTAAAATCTAAGGATGGAGTTTCATGTATCCTGTACGGAATATAAAGCCGAAATTGTCAATGTATGATTGAGGGTTTTATAAATACAACTGACTTTGCTTGACCTATTTTGACAGCGTAGATGTTGGTGTACTTAACAATAAGCTGACATTTTCTTTAACTGTGGGTACAGGGAACCACCATCACCTCTACCAGCTTACCACCCTGACACACTAAACTAACATCAAAGAACTGGTGGTGACAAAGGCCGACTTTTGCGTCACCTTATATTGCCTGTTTCTCAGCAAAAACATATCACAAAGACTACAGCCAGTGGCCAACTAGCATGTATATTCTGTGCCTGCATGAGAGGAAACAACTCTCCATACCCGCAGGTGGCAGTAGTCTGTTTTCATTGTATTTACCATGTGCTAGCGAACAACAAGACAAATGACTGTGAACTGAGCACAGTGGCTAGAAAAATATACCAAGTTTGTTTCAGCATCTCTCCGTCTTTACATCAGCTGCTTGTTTTACATTTCTCACTTACATTTCACCGACAGGCTCCGCTATCTCCAGTGCAGAACTCGAGGGTCTGAATTAATGGTCAACTAGTGCTAACGGCATGGGACACAACACACTGCACAAACTAGGGCAACAGACACTCACCTACAGCCCAATATCGACCAACAGTCAACAGTCAGCTTGGTGTGTCACATGCCTTAGTTTCTGATTGTCATTTTTAAACCTTAACTTGAAAATTTTTACAGGATCTGTCAGAGTCTGAAACTGCTTCTTAAAGCCTGAAACTCACTGACCCGTTTAAAATGTCACAATGTAAAGTGATCTCATCTCTCGTCTCTCGTCACTCACCAACCAGGGTATTATAGATGACTGGTGTTAGTGTCACATTAGTCATGCCCAAGCACGTTCACTGCTACTGCGTCATGTAACGTGGTCTGTCCCAGCTACTTACATTGATCATAGCATTGGAAGTGATGCGGAAGAGGGTGGCACGCTCATTGACTGCTTTGATCTTCTCCCCTCCCTCGACGGGGATTTTCAGACCCTCGAGTTCACTCAGGGAACGCTGCAGGGCCGCCCCATGCTTTGCGATCAGGTCGTTACATGTGCTGAGGTCATCGAGCTTGCTTACAAGTATCTTCAGGGTGCCCTGAATCTCGCTGCGGTCCGACTGGGACGTAGGCTCCTCGTCCCCCGAGTCATCTGGAAGAGAGAGGTCAGAGGTCACATATATACCATCCTGAACAAGAGGGGATTTTTGGGACATGTGAGTACACCAATCACAAACCTTTAACATTAACAAAAACAATGTAGAAAAGTTTTCTTTTAAACTGTACAATACTGATAAAATTAATGTTAATTAAGCTGTTAGTCTGATTTTACAGATGGTTTCCTCTGACACCCGCCATTAGACAGCAACATACTAAATAAGACTGACTGAATGACTGCAGAAATCCTTGGTATCTTATCAAATGTAAATATAAACTGTATGTGTTTAGGGTGTTTGAATACAGACAGCTTGTCCATACCCGTGAGCCTTTGCAGTAGCAGCTGCCTTCTCACAATGATGTCACTAAAGAGAGGTTACTTGAGCTCAAACAGAACATACGAGAACAGTGTTGCAGCGTCAGCCCTCCTTTACACACATGTATGTGCACACTGCAAGCACAAGCGCATGCACAGAAGACAGAAATACACCAAGGGTAAGACCAGGATCCATAAACAGCCCAGTGAAATCATAAAAAGAAGAAATCCAAAAGGAAAACAGACCTCCTAAATTTTCTGAACTAAAGAGGATGAGAAATATTTGCACACCTGTGAATCAAATCCTTATTCACACAGAAGAATATCTCCCAACTTGAAAGCATCTGTGTTTGTGTGTTTCTGCTTTAATGAATACAGCTAAAAAAACAAGCCCATGTGGCTGGAAAGAATTAAAAGAAGCAGCTTCAATGCCGGCATATTTACTCTGGACACATTCTGGCATGCTGAAAAGCAGTCACATCCTAACAATCCCACCAGAGCCGTGATGTATAAAACTTCGGCTACTGCTAAAACTATGAAAACAGATGACAGACAAGAGGAAGGAGCAGGAAGACATGGAGAAAAATAAGGAAAATGAGGACAGTGTTTATCTTAACAAGGGAAATATATTTATGCAACAGTGAAAGGAAGTCTCTCAACCCTCTAATCCACCCTGCTGACCTTCTAATGTTTAGAAACTACTGTTCTGCTGTCTTCTACACTCCTCCATACAGAGCATGCTTTGTCACATTGAAAAGGTCTGTTATGTAGCTGATAGGAGAGACTGTCACAGTCTTGGTGAGAGGCAGCACTACAGCAACACTTTCTCCTGAGAACATGGCAGCTGGCTGTGACCTCACAGTGAAAGAGACTATCACCCTGTCAAGCCTATTTGCACCATGCCAGTATAACATGGATCTCCGCCTGGGGGATGCTGGTAGCCTGGCAGTCTCAGGACTACATCATGTAAGAGCAATATACTGAGTTCACATTTGACACGGACCTTTGGAACGTCAAGCTCAACTGAGAAACAAGCAGCCCAGAGGTATCTCTCCACAAGACTCGTCATTAAAGGAGCTGTGTGCAACATTCAGAACATATCGATGATTCAGAGTCTGGGCTGGGATTGCCTGCACATGGCTCTCAACATGGAGGTGGCTGAGCTGGAAGCTAGCAGCTAACGGTACTAACAACAACGCTGATGGGCGCTATGCTTTCCTAACAAAACTGTTCTACCAACGGGGGATGAGACAACGTTATCAGTGGTAAATGCAGTATGTGCGCAGTGCAGAGTGGCAGCCATTAGTGAGCCCATTTGTCAGACACACAGGGACCGTCTACTGCAACAAAAGACAGAGAAGCTTGGATTACAACACAAAGAGCGAGCGTGACTTCATTCTCTGCTAAGGACGCAATTACTCTCCTATGTCTTGACATAGCAAACAGTGGTTTGCTGCTTTGTTAATGCTCTAAATTTTGCATATAGCACCTTAAAGAAGGGCTGGTGCTTGACATCCAGAAACAACGCTCCAATTACGATGTCCATCCATCCATTATCTGTAACTGCTTTTCCTGGTTTAGTGTCACAGGGGGCTGAAGCCTATTCCAGTTGACATTGGGTGATACACCCTGGACAGGTCACCAGACCTCACAGGGCTGACACATAGAGACAGACAACCAAACATGCTCACATTCACACCTACGGGCAATTTAGAGTCACCAATTAACCTAACCTACCCTCAGACTGTGGAAGGAAGAAAGGACCTCGAGAAAATCCACACTGACACGAGGCAAACATGCAAACTGCACACTGAAGGGTCCCCACCCTCTTGCTGTAAGACAACAGTATCAACAACCAGCCACTTGGCCAAATCTATTTTTGTTGTATAATATTGTGGACAAGTTCATCTAAGAGATAAACATACACATACTGGTTGGATTTTTAAACTGCTATGAAATTCTGGACAGATATTCATGGTCCCCAGATTTATTGATCATTGCTGATCCTCTCTGACTTTTACATTTGTGAAAGCCTCATAACACATCTTTAGCATTTCTGTGATTTATTGGTAAACCTATCACTTCCTTTTACTTCACTTTGATGGCTACACGATCAGAGTCACTGGAGTTTGTTTGCAGTACAGCCCGATAATACACTCAGCACATAGTGTCAGCAGCATTGCCTATTTTTAAGATGATGCACTGCAACTGGACGATAATATTAGCCATGTCAAAGATGAACACAAAAGGATGTGTTTAGTAAAAGTCTGTTGTAGTATCACATACATTGATAGATAATTGAAGTGGAGAGAGAGTAGAAAGACATTAGCTGAAGGTGAGCCAAGAGAGGGGAGAGGCGAAGACAAAAAATCTCTCACCATGTTTGCATTCCTGGGCATCCATTTTCACCCAAAGGTAACCAAAGTTCAGACAGGGAGAAGCAGCACAAACACCCAGCTCCAGCCTCAGAGATAACGTGTGAACATGTTGAAAAGGTTTTCAGAGAGACACATCTGTCTGTGCCATTAGAGGGGACAGACGAAAACAAAACAGTGCAGCCAAAGGTCAACCCAACAGCGCTACAGTGACAACAAACCCTAAAAAGAACACAGATCAGAAATCCATCCACCCATTACCGGCCAGCGGTAGAACAGGAATCAAATTACACTGGATTTCAATAAAGTCCCTGCAGAGACACGCAGGTGAAGACAAGGAAAAAAGCTGTCGATGGAAAGTCAGAAAATCGACTGGAGTGTGTGTTGAGAGACGGGCAGCTGCAGTGCAAAGGAAAGCATGAGACAGAGAAAGATGCGTGTAAGTTCAGAGGGAGTCGGAGAGGATAATGAAATAAGCTTTAAATTGATAAAGTGTGACGATGGCAGAGCAGCTTTAAACAGATACGTTAGTTGGCAAGTTGATGTGGTTTGAATTTTCTCCCACGAGGCAGCAATAACCTTGCTCCAAATCACATTTTAGTGGATAAATGTATGTATACGACCCTGAGTTCAAAATGAGTCATCAAAAAGTTAACATTTTCGAAGAAGAGGAAAAAAATGTCAATACAAATGATATTTTGACCTATTTGTCATATGATAAGAGATAATCAGAAAACTGGCTCAAGCAGATGATTTTTTACCCCAATGTTGGATGATGATGTACAGTTGGGACATATTAAAATACATGGCTAAGTGAAGACATTTGCAGCACTGCAGTAAAGCCTTGCTCTCATTATTTACCCTCATTCTGCCAATGAGTTTAGCAGCTCCAAGCAATGCCACTTAAAAATAAACTGTCACATGAACCAAGGCATATTTGTTTAGAGGAGACTCAGCTTACAGCACGTCGCCTGCAAATCTAATTCTCTTCCCTAAATCTCGCTGAAACAAGTTGTGAGCCACAGGAACACACATCCCAGCTGTTGGTGCTACTGTTCAGACACCCTTCAACGAGGAGGAGAAACCAGGACACGATGCTTTCTTAGATCTCAAATGAAGCCTCCACAAGTATGTCAGAATCGCCCTTTCTGCAATGTCTTTTTGGTTCACTGAGCCACATCCATATAGAGTCGATAAAATGTCAAGCACTACTGTACGAGTTTGATCACTGGAGATGAAAACCCTTTAAGCTAAACATTTTCTATCAACTGTGGAATAAAAGGTGAAGACTGGGTTTTACAATAAACCTGTGTCAATAAATACCCTGTCTATATTGTCTGTGCATCAGTGTCACTGCCTGGCTTGCCCCCTCACATATCCAACCCTTTCCTTCCCAACAACAGATGTGGATGAATGGCTCTCCGTAGAGGAGTCGACACCATGAGGCAAGGCCAGGAGCCCATTACCACGCAAGTCATGTCTCAAGGGCGGTCTACCTCCCCCCTTCCCCCACAGTCCACCACCTCGGAGAACACCCTGCATCGACACAAATGAAAGCCTGTTCCCAGTTACCACCGTCTCTCCACTGAACCCTCCCACTCAGAGGATGATGATATAATTTAAGCAAATATCTGTGTCTGAGGCAAGCAGGGATACAAGCTTACAGGTCACAGCTCATCAAATCTCAACATTCAAACACATACACACACATACATCTTCCATCCAACCTCGGTATGTGCACAGCTTCTTTAACCTTCACTCCATCCTTATTTTGCATCTCAGTGTTGAGCACAAAAGAGCGAGGGAGAGAGCAGGAGAGAGGAAGCAGGACAATAAGATGTGGGAGAGTGTAATTGGGAAAGCAGCAGTCTCGCTGCCGTCCCACTGACAGGGCTCATCTCTTTGTTCGTCCCTGAGGACAGGCTGTCAGATCAGTGGAGCCAGGCCTCCGGCTGACAAGACATCACCCTGTGGCAGAAAGACGTGCACGTCGAGCAGCCGAGCACATGGGTGAAACGTCCTGCCCCTCTGGATTAAAGATGGTATTTGAGCATAATAAAAGGCTTAATCAGAGGGGAAACTAGTGTCAGAAAAATTAAGAAGTTTTTCAGCAAAGAACTTGCTTTTATTTCTAATGGTTATTATTCATTTCACTGTGTCGCTGTACTGCTGTGGACTGTGGAGCTAATTAACACGCAGACAGCAACACCATTTCTATGATTTATGTCAATATACAGAATTCATATTATCCTTAGAGTTTTATGTCATTACAAAATCTCACGCACACAATAGATAGCTCATTTT